GAGTTGCGGGCGAAAGCTATAATTACATAAGTACAATACATACATACTTGTTATAAATATATATAATTATTTAAGCTATGGAACCGTTGGCCTTCGCTGCGCTGCGCATTACTGTCTCACAGTATTTTAAGAATGTATTTCTGAGTACCATTAATCATTATTTCAGCGATGGTCGCATTGGATATTGCGATCATCGCTGAAATAATGAGTCAGATTGATATTGCACATATTGAATGTGAAGTTGGTCATAATTTTTTATATGAAAACTCTAGCTTTCTTCCGAGACTCCGTCCGTGAAATAAAACAAAAAGGAGTAGCCTATGTATTCTTCCAGACTATCCTAATCTATACCGAATTTCAACGAAATTCGTTCAGCAATTTAGGCTACAAACTAACATCCATCCATCCAAACTTTCGTATTTATAGCTTAGTATGATTGTTTACGTTGCACCATCATTTTAGGCTTTTTAGGAAATTTAAGAATAAAACGAATGTTGTAATATTTTGATTTTTTTTTCTGAAAATCTGCTAAATATCTCAAATGATGGTCTCAAAATGGAAACCTGAAAGATTCCATTTGGCATGTTTCGAGTATTTAAAATAGGCAATTCTTCCTCATTGATATATTCCACAAATTGTCTCATCATAAGAATTTATGACTTGGCAATTACACACACGTTTGACTAAACTATCTCACAAGTGTGATTGTCGATTGTGCAGCCAACTGTTTAGTTGCACAACTAATCGAGTAATGTAACATTTAAGCAACGAGACTAAACAGTCGTGCGATAGTTTGGTCAAACAAGTCAAACTTTTTTATTACGAAAAGGGTTTTAATTTTGAAATAAAACTCAGTATATAATATAATATTTATTTGATACCAGTCCTGCCTAGCACCATCTCTGTACACGCGGGGGCGGGGCTTAGACACGTCCATTACTTAAGCTATTAAGTAAAATAAACTTAAATCAAGTTATTTATTCAAGAGGAAGACGTGATATAATTTTATTAACAATTATATAAAGAAATAGAAATCATTTGTATGGATTTTCCAAATAAAAAACGTAATAATTAAAGTGGTGACCACGCCTCCCGCTAAGCCACGCCCACAAGCTAATACGTCATCTCTATGACGTCATCTAATTTACAATTGATTTCTGACGTAACTAATTTGATTGACGTCAGTTTTATATAGCCTTGAATTAACGCCAGAGAAGCTACAATTTTGTTAAAATTTAAGACAGGGGAGAGTACAGCAAGAGTCCCCTCCCCTGTCTTTTCTTGTAAATTTGTTAAAAGGGTGATTCGATATTCAACCGTGATTCAATTTGTTCAATCATATACTCAGGGGTTCAATTTTATATACAGTTTGTTGTTTAAGCAAATACACAGGGTGTTCATGTATACAGGGCGTTCAACCACATATACAGGGTGTTCAAATATGTTTACAAGTGTACAACCATGTATGTATACAGTATGTATGTAACCATATACTCAAGTTTTCAACCACTTACAAGTGTACAACTACATAGTTGTACATACATATGTATACAGGCTGTTCCACCTTGTTTACAGGATGTTCAACCATGTATACAGTTCAACCATATACACAGGGTGTTCAACTACATATACATGATGTTCAACCAAGTATAGATATTCAATGTTGTGTACTAGATGTCCACGCCATGTATACAGGATGTTGTGTACAGCAGTATACAGCGTGTTCAGAGGTCGGTCTCTGAGGCGCGGCTGTCCAGCCAGTGCCGCTCCCTCTCCCTCTCCTTCCGTCTCCTGCTGCGACACGACCCGCTCTGGAAGTACACATGTATTAGATCTTACATAATGGTAGCATTTGGAAAGTACTGAATTGGTACTATATAGTAGGATTTGGTAGCTATTGATAAAGTGGTAAAATGACATTCTTTTGCTTACTTACAATTATCTAAAATTTAGGTAAATATGGTAGGATTTAGTAGATTTCGGTAAAAATTAGTAGAATGTGGTAGAATTTAGTGAACATCGGAGATAATTTAGTTTTGAAGATTAGGTAAACTCGGTAGAATTCGGTAGAAAATGGTAACATCTGGTAGTTTTTACCGTAGTCTCGCTGCGCAGCGCCGCAGCGCGCTCCGTCGCGCGCGCCTCCTGCACCGACAGCAGCTCCTGACAATCATAGAAAAAGTAAGAAATAGTACAAAATGGTAGAATTAAAATTTTAGTAACTTAGAAACAAATCTAGAGAAAACATTAATACTGAGGGCATGTATAGAAAAAATCCCCTTCCCCGTCTCTTCCCCTGGATACTATCCATTTACCGTCCCCTGAATAAAGTAAATAGACCTCTATTTGTGGATCCAAAAGGTACTATCAGGGAATTTGACGGTGTGTTAAACACTGCTAGTTTGAAAAAAAAACCCTTTTAAATATATACAATTTTACATAATTTTAATAAGACTTCGTCACGAGGAATTAAAAAACCTATTTTAGTGATAACGTAGCTTTTCAATGGTGTTAGGATTTTTGAAATCGGTCCAGTAGTTTTTGAATTATTTCAATACATACAAAAGTACTAATCTTCCCTTTATAATAGTAAAAAACTGAAACATAATATTGCATTTGTAACTAGATGGCGCTGTACGGAGTTAACTCACACTATCGTAATTCGCTCTTTTGAATTATTCATACTAATATTATTAACAAAAATACATCCTAGTCCTATTATGTTTGTATTTTAAACTGAACGGATTTCGATGATTGTCATACTAGAGAAAAGTCTGGAACACATAGATTACTTACTTTAGTTTTTTTAATTCCAGGCAGACGGAATTAGTGATGTGCCAACTCGGGAAAAACGTAACTCGAGTTAAAATCCACGTAACTCGGGTTGAACTCGAGTTAACTGGATGGACAAGTAAATGTTTTTTTGAGTTTTTCCAAATGATTCCCTCGGCTTGGCATAAAATTGGAATAACAAATTATATTTTTATTTGTTTCAATTATTTATTTTTATGTTATTTATTTATAATGGGAGAGTTATAAATAAAAAAACAAGTTATTGTTTCAAATCGAATCGTTTTTCAAGTATTTTTGGCTGAATTTAAATAAAAATAAAATTTACTGTAAAATAAGCTGAAATTATATAGCAGTCTTTTTCTCGACGATTCTCTGCCGATTTGTATGAGGAAAATTAAAAAAAAATGAAGTGTGGGGGCCAACTTCACGTTAAAAATTTAAATTACTTTTACGGAGGAACTCTCAAACGATTTTATTTTCTCTCAAACCCTCTCTAACTATTTTTAAACGATTTGCATAAAAAAAAGTTAAAAAAAGAAAGTGAGGGGGCTAACTTCACAAAGTTTAACCTTCGCTCCATGTCGGTTCCATTCGGTCTTCGAACTCGAGTTAAAGAGAATTCAACTCGACTCGACTCGAGTTTCCCCCAACTCGAGTTGACTCAAGTTACGAACTCGAGTTGACCATCACTATTTTTAATTCCAGGCAGACGGAATCAGTGACAAAATCTATACAAACATATAGAAGATTTGTATTTTTGTATGTATTGAAATAACTCAAATACTAAACCGATTAAAAAATCTTTTAGTAGGCTATATTTTTGTTTTCCACACAGACAAAGTCACGAGCTAGTAAATTACAAAAGCTAAAGTAACATCTATTATGGGGGCGAACAAAATCGCGTGCGAAAGCTATCTTGTTAGTCACCTGCATCATAACAGCTGTCTCCATCTCCGCCATACTCACTCCTGACTTGGAGACATCTTCGTCATCTGGAAACCGGTTATAATTACTTTCAGATTTGGTAGTAAAAAAACTATTTTTTTCTACCAAAAATAGTAGAGTATAATATAGCGTAAACACACATTTCTTTGTTGCGTAAGATGTCAGCAATTACAGCATATTTTTGAATAATTCTTTTTTTAATAGAAAGCCCTACTCTTACGTCACGCTTTAG